GGTTTCTAATTCAATTTCCATTAATGTAACTTCCTAGATAAGAGTCCTATTTACCCAAATGTTTATTCTACGGCAAGAGAGGTTTGAATTACTCTAGAAAAAAATCAATGATGGTGTTCTTTATTAAGAAGTGATAGATGAGAGACTGTGGAATCTGAGAGACAAACTGAGGGTTTTGGGGGGGTGGGGTGAGCCTGGTGGTGGGTATTAAGGAGGGCACATATTGCATGCAGCATTGGGTGTGATGCACAAACAATGAATTTTGGAACACTGAAAAAAAAATAAAATTTAAAAAAAGAGAGAGAGATAAAATTTTATGTAACAGAACCTCATAATTCAAACATGTAATACCCCCTAGACATCTTCAGGGGTTTTCTCTTGTCAGCTGTTTCCAAGAATGCATGCTGGATATAACAGTTCAAAATGATTAGCTTACAGCTGTTCACGTCGCCAATCCCATGGTTTCCACATATGTGGCTTCACTGTTTTTAAAAAGTGACTCGAAGTACTCAGCTTTAACTGCACGTTCTGATCCAGACATACAGAAGGGCTCACCGGAAGTCGTAGTTCTGAAAAAATTCAAAAGAGCAAAAACCAGTCATTCTATTGTTTCTTTCTGAAATTGCTCCAAAATAGTGTTTGCTCTGTTCTGCTACCGGGTATATGGGAACCAGACAACCGTTGTTTCTCCATTTTGAATCAAAGTTAGATCCATTCCATAACGCATGTTCAGAGAGGCCTCTGTTTTGCAGTTCATTCTCTTACAATAGATTAGGAAAACAATTGTAGTAACGGATTTCAACTCTTCCTGCTCAGAAAGGGAGGTAGATCTGATGTCTCCAACTGTCCTGCACCAGGCAGAACTATCCTCCGAACACATAACAGATGCACTCTTATGATGGGAAGATGGCTGCAGGACCTGACTTTTGCTTGTGATGAGAATATCACATGGACAACTTGAGTTGATTTCCTGACAATAGCACAGTCCTTCATGTGCCAGAGAGTCTGTCACGCCTCATGATCTTGGTCAACACAAAAAAAGTATTTTATTATTTTGTAAAATAGTATTTAATATTTTTTAAAGTATATAAAAGTGAAGACCAACAGTAATGGTTTTCTCAGAACACTCACTGATATTTTTTAAAAAATGTATTGAATGTACATGGTTAAAAAAATTCAAATTGTATAGAATGTTATCAAATTGGGGAAAAAAAAAAAAAAGAAACATCCAGCAATCCACCCCTATCTGGGACCTCTCTCTGCCAAAGCCAATGTTTACATATTCCCTTTTGAAATCTGCATCAGTGCATAATGGGTAAGATGCATGCGGTTCTTCAATATGTAAACTGATATATCAATATATCCATACAACTTATATATGCAGGCATTTCTGATTTTTCAATTATCCAGAAGAGACATCACGGTAGTCCCCTTTATCGATTGTTTTGCTTTCCTCAGTTTCAGTTACCCATGGTCAACCCCAGTCAAGAAGCAAATGATCCTCCTGACGTACCATCAGAAGGTCAGCAGCAGCCTAACGCGATGTCACAGTGCCTGTGTCATCCCCCTTCATCTCATCATACAGGTGTGGTATCCTCTCACATCATCACACGAAGGATGAATGCAACACACTCACATATTTCGAAAGAGTGAGACTGCATTCAAATAACCTTCTTACAGTCCATTTATAACTGTTCTATTTTATTATTAATTATTGTTACCAATCTCTTATTGTGCCTAATTTATAAAATAAATTTTATCTTAGGTGTGTATGTGTAAAAAAAAAGTGCATACAGGGTTCGGTACTATCTGTAGTTTCAAGCATCCCCTGGGGCTCCTGGAACGCATTCCCTGCAGATAAGAGGGAGGATTGCTATATAACGGTCTATGTCTGACATATTTACCTACCAGTCCATTCTGGAATCCTCTCCATTTGCACATACATAGAACTATGTTATACTTTTTAATGGCTTAGGGCATGCCATTAAATGATATACATTTGATTTAATCATTCTCTTATTGTCGGGTATTCAGATTATATTTGCAATTTTTTCTTTTATTTCAAAAATACTGCACAATGAATGCTCTTCTAAATCTATTTTGGTGTACTTTCACAAGTTTATCTAGGGGCAAAGTCTAGTCTATATGTGTAATTGCCAGATCAACACATACATGCATTGTAAATTTGATAGGTTTTATTGAACTGGCTTCCGAAAATGTTGCCCCAATTTCCACTGCCTCCAACAGCACATGAGAGTTGTTGTTTCCTTGCTGTCAGGTCACAGTGATTTATTTTTAAATTATACAATTTATCTCGCTCTCAAAATGGAACAAAGCCTTTAAATTATTTTTCCCCCTTGTGCACGTTTCATCAATACTAACATAGTCTAATTTAAAACACTTCACACTCTTAAGTAAAAGTCAGCAGAAGTCAAGCTGTTCAATGTATTCCTATATCTCATTATTTAGCACAGTGTGATCTTTCTCAAAAAATGATGGCCTCCTTGTAAGTCTTCCTTATTAATGAAGTTCTAATACATCATAATAAAAAAATACTCAAATTGCTTGTTTCTGGATGTGACAAATGAAGAGTCATTAAGATAATTTCTTTTCTTGGGAATCACAACTTAAGAAGAGTTGAAATGTTTATATAATCCTTTAAATTCATGGTAAGAAAATGCATTCTCTTTTTTTCACTAAGTAGACATTTTTTAGGAGTTATTACTAGGAAAGATTCTGTCTCTCCAGAAGAGCTAATTTGTGGCCTTCTTTTGTATAATACGAGAACAGTGTAATTGACTCTGATTTCCTTTTTATCCGTACTGCCAGGAAGCACAGCATTGATTTGAAGCCCGAGCAGAGTGGACTTTGGAGAAGCTGCCCCTATTAAGTGTTCCACCAAGGTAATACCTCAGTGATTTTCAGGAAGTAGTAGCCAGCAAATATGTCAAAGAATAAATAATTTTATCTCACCTTTTTTTTTTTTTTTTTTTGCCTTAGTTCAAGGGGAAGAGCCTAAAACACAGAGCACAAAGAGTCCAGTATAGGAATTGTCAAGAATATATCAGCATTCTGCATCAGCCCCTGAAACTGTGGTTGAACAATGGAATTTAATATTGATTAAAGTAACTTTTACCCTTTGTGTATATGTGTGTGTGTGTATTCCATTTCCCCCTTTTCCCTTGACCACCCAACATACACAGGAACCTAGAAGTCTTCTATAAACAATGCCAAAGTAGCTTCCTTCTGTTTTGGGGAGAAATCTGGGAGATGAGTGTCTATGATATGCCTATGAGTGTCTTAAAAGGCCTTGTAATTCATTAACACATATTTACTATTTTCAGACAGTAATTAAATACAAAGGGCCTAGCATGTGTCCTTAGTGCTTTTGTACTCCACAGTATGAGGACTGAATGAATAACCAGATACAGATGTGAAATATCTATGTGTTTTTATTTATTGGCTACTCTTAGCTTATTTTAAAGAGCTATGAAGCTTGTAATTTTAACACTTACCCAGAGGAAAAAAAACGAACAATTTTTAAAGATGCATGAAAACTGCTTTTCTCCTGCCTTCTAACATTTGGTTGGCCAGGCATGCTGTCAGTACCCAGTGAGTATGGTACAGTTTCAAGAAAAGAAAGATTCAACCAGAACCATAAGACCTGGGTTTTATTTTGATTCTTACTAACCAATGCCTAATGGGTGTGTGACAATGCCAAGGAGTCTTCTAGAATCCAGAATATGATTTCCCACTATCTCTTGATTGTCCCACATCAATGAACACGATGTTGGTGCATAACAACTGCTCAGTAAAAGTTTGTTCTAGCAATGAGCTAGTTTGGTGGTGGGGGTGGGGTGGGGCGTTTAAGTCAACATGTACTTGGAGAACAAAATGATATCCCAATTAAAAATATTTTATTTTTTCCCTTCTATATGCCATATAATTATATACACTATAGGCAAAGACTATACACTAGAAAACTAGCAAAGATTAACAGGCAAATTTAAGCTATATTTGATTTAATGTTTTGCCCAGAGCTAATAATTAATAGGAAAGTAATATTGGAAAATGTAATTATATTTCATAAATGTTTGAATATTGTCTTGCATTTCAGATTAGGAAGCTATAGTTAGCCAGGATTTTCTTATTTTAAAACCTCCCGTGAAGATAAAAAGTCTTAATAATTTACAATCAGTTTTGAGATTAGAATTATAAAATAAGTACCATTTGTGGATATATTAATTGTTCTTTCTATCCCAACACATTTATGAGTCTTAGTCCTTAGCCTACAGGTATAGCTATGCAAACAAACCCACAAAACTTATATACATAACAAATGTAAATTAATATATGCACAAGCTAAAGTCATAGCCAGGAAAAAACAGTCAGAGCCCTGGAAGAAAATGAATGGATGGCAGAGTCAAAGAAGTAAGTGAAGACTATTAACCAAGAAACTTAGAGAAGGGGACTATTAAAGAAGGCAGCGATAAGGGAAAATAATAAGTAGTGAAGCTCCTAGGGCTGATGAAAGGGAAGATCTTGCCACCCCAAGCCCAGGAGGGCGGCAATTATAGAACCAAGCAAAGGACATAGCGGTGAGAGAGGATGCTGAGCTTGAGCTATGGCCACAGGTAGAAGAACACAGGCACTTCTAAGCCAGGGTCTGGCAGGGAAGCAGGTAGGGGACAAATACCCCAAAGTTCTCTATTTCTAAACTCTGATCTCCTGTCAAAAGTTAGGGGACAAGGGAGCCCCATTGATGTAATGTGTGATGGACAGCTTCCTGGGGAAGAATCTAGAGTGAGGGAGCAAATAGAGAATGAGGCAAACCGTGCATCTGGAAAATATAAACTTCTGCTCTAGTTTTCTTCTTACTAGCCACATGTCCCAGAGAAAGAATCATATGTGTGTATGAGAGTGAGTGCGTGTGCATGCACATAGGAGAAGAGTGAATAAGAAAGAAACATTAGGGGCGCCTGGGTGGCTCAGTGGGTTAAGCCTCTGCCTTCGGCTTGGGTCGTGATCCCAGGATCCTGGGATTGAGCCCCGCATCGGGCTCCCTGCTCAGCGGGGAGCCTGCTCACCCCTCTCTCTCTCTGCCTGCCTCTCTGCCTACTTGTGATCTCTGTCTGTCAAATAAATAAAATCTTAAAAAAAAAAAGAAAGAAAAATTAGCTTTGATCTTTAATAAGAGCATTTGTCCATGGCAGTAGGTCATGGCTTAAGATGAATTGTATGAAACTGCATTTTGTTATGTAAAAAATGATTGAATATTAATCAAATATCAGCAATTCATAACTTTTCTCTTACTACACTGTGATGCCTATTGGAGAGAAGCAAGGGAGTATATAAACATACCACCTGTGAAAGAAGGTTCCAGTGGCTAGAATGTCTATGGGTAGGAATGACAAATGGGTGCACTGGTTAATTTTATGTGTCAACTTGACTGGACCAAGGGATACCCAGATAGCTGCTTGAACATTATGGGTGTGTCTGTGAGGGTATGCTCAGAGGAGATCAGCATTTGAACTGATGGTACGAGTAAAGCAGATAGCTCTCCCAGATG